TTCAGTATTGCATTTGTGTTTAAAAGTCCATGCCATGCTAACTCTTTGGTTCTGACATGTTGATAAGAGACACGGATACACAGCTCTCTGGGTAGAAATTCTGTCTGTTTACTTTCATATCCCCATTTTCTTTTCTGCACATGCTCAAAATATGTTAGATTAAGTTGAATTTTTACTTAAAGTTGTAACTGAAGCATATCCGCCTTAACACAAATGGCAAGATAATTATATTAGTTTAGGTGGAACTTACAGTTAAGTAAGTATGATACTGGATTGGTATCTAAGATATGCTAAAAGAAAAAAAAAAAGATCCATGATTTTTCAAGTGTTTTCTTGAGACTCTAAATGTTTTCAGAAAGTGAGTTCTTTTATTTACTGTTTTCAATCTCAGTAGAGAAGACCCTCGTGGGATTTCTCACAAAATGCCCCTGAGTGACTCTGCTAAAGGCACAGAGAATGCCCCCAGTGAACACGAAGATCTCAGCAGCTGAGTATATAGGCAGGTTGGAAGCAAGACTGGCAGGCAGATTGCTTTTCCTGTGACAACAACTTTGTCCTTCCCACTGTTTGAGGCAACTAACTATATGAGAAGCACACTTGACTCTTCTTGGATGTCTTATGCTCAGAGCACAGCTATTTAATTAATTGTATTAAACCAGATTTCACTCGCATCTTTTGTTCCTCTCAACTTTTTTTTTTAATACTTAAGGATGAATGTATCAAAATGAATGAAGCTTTATGTATTATGTTTATAGACAAAAACTCATAGAGAAGAGTCTGGGTGGTCAACAGTGATGAGGAAAACTTTGGAACATCCCACTGGAGCACAAAAACTTCCCTCAATACATGGAGGAATCACTCTCCACTTGACTCCTGTTTGTTAAACTTATTAATTGCATTTGATACTTGGTCTGCGTCAGTGGTCATTACTCATTAACTTCTCTGCCCAAACCAGTGTTTCAACTTCAGGCCTCACTGACAGTGAAGGATTCCACTGAATCCATGTAAGAGATTGTGAACAAAGACTGGTGGAGTTCACCAGTAGCCACAGCCATTCCTTTAACAGACTGAGCAGTAAGAGGGAACACAGGAAAAAAAAACCTCATGGAAAGAATGTTTGGAAAACACTTGGAAAACACAGAGGAAGCAAGCATTAGAGATATCTTTCCTAAATTTTGCCATTTATATCTCAATGAAGCTGGAGAAAAAAATACTCTGACCCTGATAACTCCTCAAAGACTTTTTGGGTCATGTGGCCACTCCCAACATGCTATGACTTTCAAGGATATAAACTTGCTGGTAATATTTCTGAGGAAAGTGTGAAGCCAGAGAGGTTCTCACTGACCTTCTTCTACTATTACAAAACCTGAGTGTTTATCAAAGTAATCTTATTATGGGAAGAAGAAGAGCTCTAGGTGAGAGGCTAGAATACAAGATACCACATTTTAATACTCTTTGTGAGATGGAAGCACCTTAGTGACAAAGCCCTGGATGGGAAGGGTTGGGTAGGGCCTGCCCAGATTGGCCAGGGACAAAAGGGAAACAGTATAAAGGTACCAGGTATGGAGGTCGGGCATTATAGAGAGAATGTACCTCTCTACATAAGGATGAAGGCACCAAATTAAACAGAATGGATAAAGCTAAACTAGGCAACCATTATAAATAGAGTTACCCTGCTGGCTGGGAGGAATATGAGGTGGAGAAGCAATATGGAATGCTAAGATATTCATTAAATTGCACAAGTGCCAGAAAGGTAATTTAAAACCAAAATGATCTTATCGCTGAATTTATATTTATTCACTCTTTTATTTGCATGATTTGAGAAAGATCTACACAGGGTTCCAGATGTTGACTCTAAAACAGGTTAAGAAGAGGAAAAATACCCAGGGGAGGGGAGGGTGATAAAGCAAGCTCTTAGCCAAGAAAGCAAAGTGGACGTCTAATTGTAATCCTTAAATTGCGCTTCTCAGTGACGTGTTTTGACTTGTGACTTTGGTAAGCTCCTCAGATGTTTTCAGGGCTTTACTATGTGTGTCAAATGGGGCAAAAACCTAAGATACCCCTGAGGTTTAGTCATGTGGTCTTGAGATTAAAGCAGTGCCCAGAAGGCCTGAAGATAACTCGCAAGTTTCACTGGCTTATTCGAGTTCTAGGAATTCAGTTCCTTTTACTCCCAGGTAGGCTAAAGTAGCCATGGATGGAGAGACAAACTGACACTCTCAAGGACAGAAGAGTTAGACAACCTAGTGGATAAGACAGAAGAGATCTTGGATCAGGCTGCTTGCATGTGAATTCCAGCTTCACTGGTTCCTTGACGCGCAAGCTTGTGCAAGATACTTCAATTCTCCTACCTTTATTTCCTTCTCTGTGAAATGGAGATTATAGAATCTACATCATGGGGTTGTTGTATGAAATGAGGTAATGTGTATGTAGAGTTTAAAATAGTATCATGTAAACAGTAAGTGCTCAATGAATGTTAAGCATTATTACACATTTAAGTATTTTTATTGGATGAAACATAGTACACTACATTGCATTTCTTTATTCATTCTCTGAGGCAAGTAAGCCTCCTATTTTTTTTTTAAGCCTCCTCTTATGGTACAGAATGTCTCCCACAGAGCCCTAAATTGATCCAAACCCTGAGGCCTTCCAGACTTCCTGTCTGGAAAGAAAGAAGTGCCTCCAGTGACAGAAGGGCAAGGAGCTCCCTGGACAGGGTTCAAGCATCTCCAAAAGCCTTGCTAGCCCCCTTTTGCCTCAAGACACAGTCCATGGGATTATCTTGTGATCACCACCCCAGGTTTCTCTACATTTCCATTTTTATTAAAATATCAAATATTTCCTGTTAATTCTCCAATCAATTACATATTTTTCCTTTATAATTTCATTTCAAAATAGCACAGATAGAGCCTTGACAATTTGACTTTAGGGCTTCAGATTCCCAGAATCTAAAATGTGGTTCTCTCTTAGGCCAAAACATGCTCTCACCTTTTACCATGTCCTCAGAATGGAAATGTAATTTATAAGTAGACGTGACATTAGGTAGAATAACCAAGTTACCTCCCAAATGTACAGAATTAGTCCTGTAATAACTTTATAGAGTTGTCATTTTGTCTTTAAGCAACACAGAAGCTGAGATGCTAATCTGTTTTTTGAGAACTTCTAAAGAAGGAGATTTCTAAGTCTCCCTTGATGGCAGGTGCACAGAGGCTTAAGGGCCAGCTGACAATGATTCTCAGAGGAAGGGGAAAGAACAATGCTGAGAATCAGACCTCTGTTGTGGTCCCAGACACCTCCAAACCTGACCTCTGAAGTACAACTGGAGCTAGTAGGTGGGGCACAGGGAGAGGGATGGAGACCACCTATTCTGAAATTACCACACGAACTGAAATCAGATAATGTAAGGAGGTCTCCCTACTTTTGGAACCGCATAGTTTAGATGTGCTGTCAATACTGGTCAGACTTTTAAAACCTCATCATTTATTTGAATTACTGAAGAACCATTGGTGAATCTTTCTTCCCCCTAGAATTTTAAAAGTCAAGTCATTTGGTTAAGTTGTTCCAACAGTTCCTGCCAAAAATTTATAGCTACTATTGAGTAACATGGTATCCGGTGGTATTAAATCCTACTGTCCTGAATAGAACATACGTTGGGATGCAAGTTGTGGCAAAGGTGGTTAGCCATCTACATGAATCTATTCTTTCCTTAGGTACATAGCTACACTACATTCTCAGAGTCTTTTGTGATTATGTGAGCCATGAGATCAAATTCTATACCAGAACATGAACAGAAGTGAGGTTTGTCATTACTGAGCTGGGGTGGGGGGTGTTTAGAAAACCAGCTTCACCCCCTCAGTGTTCTCTATTTCAATGTCACAGAGAAAAGAGTCCCCCTACGCCACCCCACCCCAGTACCTCCAGCAAAACTATGGATGCTCCATGTCAAAGAGCTTTTGTCAGCCTGGTTTTCCAAATGATTGCATATTGAAGAGGCTCCCAACCACAAATCTCTTGCCCAGGGCTGATGATATATGAGAAATAAGCTTATGCTATATTTAAGCCACTTCGTGTTTCTGTTTATTACAGCCATTTAGCACTGAAGAGTAGCAGGATAGATCACCCCAAAATGTGTCACTTTGGCATAAGGATTATTTTAAGCTAAAGGCACTTGAAAAACAGCAGGTATAAGAAGGGCACTCTGACCTTTCCTTTTCCTCCTGAAAGCAGGTGATAAAACTTCCATGTAAAAAATATGCCCTTCCTATACCAGGAGGAAAGAAACATTCTTATCACCAGAGATGGGGGTTTGAGGCCAATGGAAATCTGTACAGACCTTGTTAAAATAACTCTTATCTTCCTTTAGGCTCCCTATATATTTTAGTTGCTTCCCCACAATTACCTCTCTTTGTTCAACCTTGTTTATAAACGCTAGGCCTAGCCATTTTTGAGTCTTGGTTTTCCCGTGGGGGCTTTCATGTACACATAAAAATCTATAAGCTTTTTTCCTATTAACCTGTCTTATGTCAATTTAATTCTCGGGCCCAGCCAGACCGTAAGAAACTCCAGGTAAAGTCTGGCCTCCCCTACCACAGAACCAACTACTATATATGCCATATTTCAAATTATATATTCTTTCTAAAATCACATGGAAGTAGAGACACCTTAACTATGTTTTAGTACTCTTTACTTTGTCAAAGATGCTTTCACTTGCATTATCACTTAGTGCTACAGTAAGAGAGCTTAAAAGTCACCATTTAAAATAATAGGAATCAACATATACTTCAAACTTCTGATCTTATGCAACAGAAAATTCCATAGAGCCAGGAGAAACAGAGCAAACAAACAAATTTTCAATTCCCAACCTGATTTGATAATAAATATACTCGAAAGATTTACTTTTATGGTTCAAATTATCAATAGGAAATTATTATCAATGTAGATTTACTTTTGTGGTCCAAATTACCAATAGGAAGTCATTATGAGGTAATCATGGTCCTTACCTGCTAAAGATGACATGTTTATAATGATGCCACCTTCTCCTCCATTTTGCTTACTCATGTAATCCAAGCCAAGGTAGGTCCCACTGATAACAGAAACCTAATCCAGAGGCATAAATGGGAAAAGCAACACAGCCATTATTTATATATCATAGTCCCAAGTTTTAAGGCTATTGGAGACACCCAGGGAGATTTCTGCAAATACTATCACCAAAAATTTTTCAAGTGGCTGCTTGCTTTTTTTTAAAGCTGGTCGTGCCTGGACTCTTTTTTGTTTGCCTCTACCTGAGGAGCTTCTCACATCTCTGCAACTTCACTTCATTGTCCAATCTGAGATTTTATGAAAAAAGTCATATTACCATAGTGTCTGTCACTTGACCTCAAATCTAAGCATCTTTGAGAACTGTATATACAGTGTTCTTCTTTTCTGAATATTGGATACAAAACTCATTTACCCTTCTTAGCATATGGTTCTCAGATCCAGGTATTTTTCATTCATCTGCTCTGTTTAATTCTCTTGGACCTTGGAATATATAATAAGGAAAGCCCTTGATTTTCTACACAGCTTTCATGTCCTTTTTTTATTTCTAATAAAAAGTCTGTTTTGCACTTGTTTCTGCAGGGGAAGGTGATCTTCTTAGGTTTAGTATGGACACTGATTAATTTTTTAAATATTTTATTATTTATTCATTCATTCATTCATTCATTCATTCATTCATAAGAGACACACAGATAGAGAGAGAGGCAGAGACACAGGCAGAGGGAGAAGCAGGCTCCCATGCAGGGAGCCGGACTTGGGAATCGATCCCGGGTCTCCAGGATCACACCCCGGGCTGAAGGCGGCGTTAAACCGCTGGGCCACTGGGGCTGCCCGACACTGATTAATTTAATCTAGTCACAGAAACCCCATTCTCTTTGCTAGTAACTTGTTTGGAGGCCTACATGTGACCCATTTCTAGCCACTGAGACCTGAGGAGCAGTCAGCTGGAGTGGGTCCAGGCAAGGGGGCAGGTGGTGGTGGAACAGGATGTTACTGAAAAAAAAAATTGTTGCTTTTAAGAAAATCAGAAAGAAATTATTACATCAGAATGAGGGCTTCTTCCATCATTTAGTAGGGGTGTGATGGCTGGAAGATACAGTTACATTGTTAGTATCCTTAAGATGAAATCTCCAAGAAGGGAGGCCGACTGGAGAGATGAAAAGAAACTGAGTTCCGGTAGCACTGTGTTGCAGTATCAAGCAATCCTGACCTCTGTGTTGTGTGAGACCACATAAGTTTTTCGCTTGGTTTCAGCATCCGAACTTCTGATCAGCTAGGCACATCTTCCTACTGTCTGCCGCTTAATCTTCTGCATCACTCTTGCAACTGCCTTTGTGAGCGTTTACTCTGATTTGTTTCTCACCTCTATGCATAAGCATGGTTCTATTCTAACATTTGAGAATTCACCACTACCAAAAACAACCTGTGATACAAAACTCCTACTTGATGCCTTATTTTCCCTTTATTTTTATTTTTTTGAGATTTTATTTATTTATTCATGAGAGACACAGACTGAGAGAGGCAGAAACATAGGCAGAGGGAGAAGCAGGCTCCATGCAGGCAGCCTGACATGGGACTCTATCCCGGGACCCCAGGATCACGCCCTGGGCCGAAGGCAGGCGCTAAACCGCTGAGCCACCCAGGGATCCCCTTATTTTCCCTTTTAGATTTAAGAATTCCTCTCCCTTCCAACTCAGACTTTTAGCAGGTGAACATTTTCTTTTGACATCTTAATTCCTGCTTTTTTGCAGGAAGGTGGAGGTGGTCTTTACAATACTGCAAAGAAAATGATACAACAGTAATGAGTCTGAAACTGAGGGCATATATTGGCATTTACCTTCTTTTTATTTTAAAAAGTCTGTTTGGAGTTTTCTTGACATTCAACGTTGCCTCCCTACCTAATAGCAGTTATGAAAAAAAAGTAAATTAAAGATTGTATTCACTTAAGCCATGTGTCAGTTTGATTTTAAGTAGGCTTAGGGAGAATGAGTAAAATCTCCACGATTCCTTTTAAAAAGAAAAAATACAAAACATTAAATGGTTTATATAAGAAGGAAAAAATGTACATGGCTGAAATTATTGAAGTCAGTTAGATTCTGGTAGTTTCTGCCTAAATCTCTAGCATGTCTGGACAGAATTTCTGTTTACACATATTGGTGCTATGCTTTTATTCTCAGGTATTTATAGCTTTGCTGACACTCTGTTTTTGTGTTTTCAACCTCCAGAAGATGCAGCCAGATAGAAAGTTTGGAAATATTTAAGCTTTTTTTTTTTTTTTTAAAGGAAGATTTCCAGGTCTTTAGTGGAGGAGGCCAAAGGATTATTTTCCCATCCATTATCAAGAACGAAGTAATTTTTCAAATCTACAAAATAGGGTCTAATGCTTTGGTTGGGACATATGTGATATTTTCATCTTCTTTCCTAGAACAATCTCTTCCTTATCCCAAATAATATAATCAAGGAAATGTTAGGAAACCACAGAATAAAATGTTTTTTTATTAATGTTCCTAATATATTTGTCCCTTGGCAATATTTATATATCACATAGATTGGGTCATTAAAATAGCAAGCATCTAGGGAGAAAAAAGAAAATTAAAATTATAGACAAGTTCTAGCTACAAACACAAAACAGTTGAGATCTATAGCATTATTTTAGTCTATCATACAGGTACTCTCAAATTTTGTATTTGACCTTCAAAAAAATTTTTTTAAGATTTTACTTATTTATTTATGAGAGACAGAGAGAGAGAGAGAGAGAGAGAGAGAGAGAGAGAGAGAGGCAGAGACACAGGCAGAGGGAGAAGCAGGCTCCATGCAGGGAGCCTGACGTAGGACTCGATCCCAGGTCTCTAGGATCACACCCCGGGCTGAAGGCGGCGCTAAACTGCTGGGCCACTGGGGCTGCCCGACATTCAAAAAATTTTGTACTTGACTCTCAAAAAAAAGAAAAAGAAAATCCTATGCCTAATTTCACATGGTGCAAATAAAAATTCAATTATTGGCAAAATGGTCTAGTTAACATATGCTTACTCAACAGTTTTGGTTATGACAAATTTTTATATGTAATACCAAAATTATAACTGCTGCATTCCAAATCCTAAATCATTTTATAACTGCTGTATTCCAAATCCTAAATCATTTTTTTCCACAGATTAAAGCATTCTATAAATTAAAACCACTCATAAATCCCCCGTACTGGGAATAATTCTTAAGTAACAAAGTTATATGGACAAATGGTAATAATGTATTTGTTTAACCCTTCTTATCAGGCATCATCTCTTCTTAATATATATCTATAACATATATTATTATATATAATATATAATATGTTATATATTACATATATATTTCCATAACCTATATGTAAAAAGCGCACACACGTATTCACTACTGAAATTTTCTAATCTAACATTTTCCTTATCTTCCTCCCCTCTGAGGTTCCTTTTAGCTTATTTCTGGTCCTTATATACACTCTAATTTTAAAAACTCTGTTATCTAAATCATGTGACATTGCCTTTCAAGTTTCCTGTCTTTTCTCCAGCCTGATTCTAGGGGAATACTAATATAGATGATTTTTTTTTCTAAAATTCTTTTTATCTTTTATTTCCAGCCTTCTTCCATTTTTGCTTGTTTATGTGGTAAATATTATTGTAGTCCCCCTTGCAGAGCTAGTTATTTAATTTGTAATCAACATCCTTGGGAGCCAAGAAAAGGGAGCACATTTTGACATTTCTGCCCATCTCCTCAACTCTTCCTTAGAGGTAGAGTAGGGCAGAGGAATCTACCTCATATAGAAATGAGATTATAAGAATGAAGAAAATGTAAGTTTTTACATTATGGAGGATAAATGTAATTTATTGAGTGATACTATCTATGTAGTAAGAACTATGCTGGATATTTCATGTAAGTTTCACTTTAGTTAAGCTTAATCATCCTTCAGAGTAAGGAAATTATCTTTGTCCCCTTAAAATTGGGAAATTCAAGACCAGAGAAATGAAATAAAAGTTCATGAGTTCAAGCAGCCTGGGTGGCTCAAAGGTTTAGTGTCGCCTTCGGCCCAGCGCCTGATCCTGGAGACCCAGGATTGAGTCCCATGTCGGGCTCCCTGCATGAAGCCTGCTTCTCCCTATGCCTGTGTCTCTGCCTCTCTCTCTCTGTGTGTGTCTCTCGTGAATAAATAAATAAAATCTTAAAAAAAAAAGTTCATGGATCCTAAACTCATAACTGTAATCTAGTTTTGGCTGATTGTAAATGTATACCCTTCCCAGTACAAATCTTTAGTCAACCCTTGTATTTCTGAAAAAAAAAAATCAATAGCAATAAGCCATCTGTTTTGTTTAGTTTTTATTTGAGTACACTAAGGGATTCAATATATGTTAGTTACATGTCCAAATCAGATTATAAATCCCACCTGAATGGGAATGAATTATTTAGGCTTACTAAAGGTCAAAAAGTAAAAGAAATATATCAAAGAATGGCCTTATCAATATTCAAAGTTAAGTCTACCTCCACCCGCCCAATTGCCAGAGTAACCTTTGATAGTTATTCAAAGGTTCAGTCTTTTCTGAACACTTCTAATGAGCTCTGGGTAACTATAAATAAAGCTACTGCAGTTGGCTTCAGATTAAGGAGGAAGCACAGAATAGCCTAATGGAAATGAAGAATGGGAAGAGGTTTAATGTATCTCTTGTGTGGGAAGAATGGTGAGATCTGCTCAGTTGAGGATAAGGAAGCAGTAAGTTTGGTAAGGAGTAAAAGTGGAAGGACATATGATACAGCTTGGCAACACTGATGTATTAGGAAATAAACCAAATATATTAAAATACAAAAATGAATATTCATGAATGCAAAATATCATAGGATAAGAGTTTATTTATCCAATAAATATTAATTGGACATCTACTCTGTACACAAAATTTTCATTTATTAAGAGAGCTTACAGTATACTTGCATAAGCTGCACAGGCATAAAAATAATTCTAATAAAATTTTTAAATTTGTAAGCCCTATAAGAATGGTATAATTATGGTATACAAGATTCCAGAAGAAGAGATATTTGGTGAGGTCCTTTAACTAAGTGGTTACTCTCTGACAGGGACAGGAACATAGAAAAACATGCAAAAGAACACACGGGGTACTGTAAAAGGAGGCAAATTACATTCAAAGTCTAAAAAAAATAATATGAACCAAACACAAATATTTGCATTGTACTAACAAAGATAATCAAGTTGGAAGGATAAGGACAGATCAGACCCTAATCTACTCTTGAAACGGGTGTTGCAGGTAGGAGGGGAAGTAACATGTTTTCAAGTTATATATAGGTAACAAAGGTTATATCTTGCTCTCTAGATGTAAAATTAAATAAACGTCTTTAGTTCCTGGAGTTAAGCTAAGGAGTGGCCTATGTCAGCAGAGTCCAAAGAAAAATAAAGGCCAGATAATTTCAATGAGGAAGAATCCAGGAGAGTGAGTTGTAACCAAAGGAGTCAAATAAAATTCTCCTGGTTTTCTAGAATTCTCTATTTGTAGACAATGTACGAATTTTTAGCTTGCAACAAGTTTATTCATCCAGGCTATGTTAAAGCAAACATGCTCTCTCAGCCAGATGAAGACTGATGATTCTAATCTTATTATTTTTGTGATAATGTCTTCACTATCTTCATTTTCTTTATATCAACTCTAATCATTACAGTTTTCTGACTGCTAATTTCTTAGAAGACACAGTAAGTGTTCATTATTAATGCAACAAATATATGCAACTTTATGCCCTTTATCTATAAAATAACTGTAGCTATTACTGATGAAACTGTTAAAATATCAGTAGTGAGGCTATAGGGAGAAAACTGCTCTGTGATTTGTGCTTTTTCAGTAGCAAAGCTTGATTCAAAGAAATTCTTATCATGTTATGTGGTTGTGGAAAGTGCCATTAAGTTTATAAAAATATATTCTTAAATATTCTTGAAGTTCTCAACTGGTCATACATTTATTTGTTTCTTGATCTGGCAACCAAAGGATGTAATGAAGTATGGTTCCTAATGAGTCAGGGGCAGCATCCAGAGATTAATAAAATGTACAATTTTCAAGGTACCTGGGTGATTCAGTTGGTTAAGTGTCTGCCTTTGGCTCAGGTCATGATTCCAGGGTCCTGGGAACAAGCTCCACATCAGGGTCCCTGCTCAGTGGGGAGTCAGCTTCTCTCTCTCCCTCTGCCTCTTCCCCTAACTCATGAGCACTCTCTCTCTCTCTCAAGTAAATATAATCTTAAAAATAAATAAATAAAATGTACAATTCTCTTACCAGCAGAAAAAATTAAATGTATCCTGTGGAATTTAACAAAGGAATGGAAAAAGATAAAAAAACAAAAAGAAAACTTAGTAAATTCAAAATATGAACTAAAGGGGAACGGTGGCTCAGTTGGTTAAACATCTGACTCATGATTTCAGCTCAGGTCATCATCTTATGGGTCATGAGATCAAGCCCTACATCAGGCTCCACACTCAGCAATGAGTCTGCTTCTCTCTCTCTCTCTCTCACTCTCCCCTACTCCTCTCCAACTCATTCTGTTTCTAAAATAAATAAATGATTCTTTAAAAAAATATTTAAAAAATAAGATACAAACAAATCTGTAAGAATAAATCTCAGTAGAGGGTAATAATAAATATAAGTGGCTTAAATTCACAAATATAAAATGCAGATATACTCAGGTGTGACTTAAACAATAAGTGCTCATGCTATACTGTCCGCAAGAGACAAATTCAATATGAAAGTTGACAGGTCAGGTCTCTAAACACACAAACATATCCTAGAAAGACTTTGGGGGAAACTTGACAGGTAGGTTTTAAAGTTATTTTGAAATCTAATGATATCTAGGAACACTTGAGACAAGTGTTAAAAAGAACTGGAAGGAAATTATACTCTAAAATAGCAACTTTAATTCTCAGTTTAAGGACTTTAGGCATCTGTCTAAACTTTGTACCATGTGGAGAAACTTTGTGGAGAAACTTTGTACCCTTCAAAGTGGTTCAGTTCTTTTGTGAGGTAGTATAATTCTCATTAGTCCCATCAAGTTATTAGCTAAGAAATTACTCATGGGAATGTAGATTCAAGTCATATATTTATTGACTAAGCACTATCTTCAAGATATTGTGTTGACTACTAAGAAAGAAAGATAAAACACAACACATCCTGTTTTTAAGGAGTTTATCATTGCCTAGGAGGGCATCAAGAAGTATGGGACCACTCCCTGTATGTTTATACACACAGTGGCCCTTCTGTACTTTACACATACCTGTTTTGCAAGACTAGTAGGATGACCTTAACAGGTAAAGCATGGTGACCCCTTGCACAGCCTACCTCTTACAGCATGCTTTGGCTAAGATTTAAGTTTCACTACACCCCACTATCTTACCTCAATGGTGTTTATAAAGTGGATAGCCAACAAACTTGTGATACAGAGGGTAAAACAGAAATTATATTTCCTATTTCTACATTCTTTGTAATTTAGGAGCTAAATAATCATCAAACATTGTAGAAGTTACACACACACACACACACACACACACACACACATTGACTTTCAGGATAAAAATCTTAATAATTATAAAGTCCAACAGTCACTTTTGCCTTGCATGCTGTTATGTTTCTGGAATTAAATTAAGATTTAGTTTATAAATAAGTAATTGAAGCCAGGATTGACAAGTATTTTTCTGTAAAGGGCCATATGGTAAATAGTTTAGTCAGTGCACATCATAAGGTAGTTACAACTATTCAACTCTGCTCTGTAGCAAAAAGTAACCATAGACAATATATACATGGATGATAGCTGTGCTTCAATAAAACTATAAACATTGAAATTTAAATTTTATTTTTTTAAGATTTTATTTATTTATTCATGAGAGACAGAGAGAGAGAGAGAGGCAGAGACACAGGCAGAGGGAGAAACAGGCTCCATTCAGGGAGCATGATGTGGGACTTGATCCCAGGTCCCCAGGATCACACCCTGGGCCAAAGGTGGTGCTAAACCGCTGAGTCACCCAGGCTGCCCAAAATTTAAATTTCAGATATTCACATAGTTTGTATTTTTTTTTTTTTTACATTTTTTCAACCCTAAGAAATGTAAGACCCATTTTCAGCTCCCAAGTACAAAAGCAGGTGGCAGGCCAGTTTCATCTAGGACCATGGTTTGGTAACTCATAAGTTACGTGATAAACTATGGTTTTTTTTCATATTTCCTTTTAAGATTTTTAAGACAGATTTATTTGCATAATTAGACGTTTCAAATGTCTTCCCATTTGTAAAAGGAAATTCTTCTTTTCTAGCTTTCTGTAACTTGCCATTCTCTATGTTGTTGGTCACTATACTGATTCCATAATGTAAGAACCTTTTCTCCAGTAAAAGCATCATTTTATTAAATAGGTTTAGGCAATAAACATGGCTAAGATGGCTTACCAAATTAATTTGCACAGTTTTTTCCCAGTTTTTCTCATTATTGACACCAGCGTTATTGACCAAAATGTCCAATCTTCCAAAGTGGTCCACAACTTTTCTAAAAGTGTCTAAGAAAAAAAAAAGGCATTATAGATATATTCTTGTGTTCCAGATGTACATTTCAATCCTACCCTGTGCCTTGACATTAATTTTCATTTATTCACTTTTATAATGAAAATTTTACTCTTAGACTATAACTTAATGCCTTGCTTCTAGGAGCATGGTTTGTGAGCCAGCAGCATCAACGGCGTTACCCTGAAACTTGTTAGAAATGCATAATCTGGGGCATCTGGGTGGGTCAGCTGGTTGAGCATCTGACTCTCAATTTCAGCTCAGGTCATGATCTCATGGGTCATGAGATGCCAGCACTGTTGGGGATTCTGTACTCAGTAGAGATTCTGCTTGAAGATTCTCTCTCTACCCTTCCCCCTACTCATGCACTCTAAAATAAATAATAAACCTTTTTTTTTTTAAATGCATAGTCTGTTGCCACCACAGACCTACTGAATCAGACTCTTTAATTAGGTCTGTAGATGAGCTGTATGCACACTGAAGTTCTTAATGTAGTAAATTTTAGACAACTGAGCCTCCTAAGCTAAGAGCTCTTAGAAGTCCACTTGGACAGCCAATATCTCTTGGTTCTTAGGAAATTACTGAAGTTCTGTGGCTTAGACTATGACAAATATCCTTTTTTAATAAGCCATATTATCTTTATAAAGTGTTATATTAAACATGTGTCTTCTTGTATTCAGATTCATTATGATCATTTCAAGGAGTCTGATACCCCAGTAAGAAAAAGTATATTTTCATTCAGTTGATCTGGCTACGGTGACTTCAATATTTACTATTCTTTTTTCTTTCTATTATTGCTACTTTGAATTACTATTTTGTATAACTATTTTGTATAAAAACTACTTTCAACCAGGGTAAAATCTACATAGATTCTGAGGCCTGAAGGTCACTCATTACATGGTCCAACCACATATCCCGTCTAGTCCTTCCAAACCCTCCTTCCTTAGCCAGTTCATACTTGACTTTACCACTTTTGTATCAAGAAACACATTATTTCTCAAAGCAGGTTTTGACAATAGTTGTGTAGATTTAAACTGTTTCCTTGGGCCTTCTACCATTGGTTCTAGGTGTATTACTTGAGACTATAGATAACAATCATGGTTGTTTTTCCAAATGATAGAAATGTATTCTCCAGTCTTAGGGCCAATATAGGAATTAGTTGAAAACAGAAAATCTAGACTAGCTTTATTTTGATTAATAAATCTAGAATCATTAACAGCCACCAGACATATTGAAGAGGGCATGGCTTCATCAGTTCCCAAATGGATAAACTACTATGCAAGTTAATTGCCAAAAATATTGCAAAAGCCATTATTTACAGTACTTTACCATACTGTTATAGAAAACAACAAAATAAAAATTTTCTATTCTTTTATGGAATCTTTAAACTGCGTAGAATCTCCAATTGATACCAGAAAAGTCCTCTAGCAGAAAATATCTAAGGAATATATGTGACTTATATATATATAACTTATATATATAAATTTTATAATATAATATATATATATATATATATATTTTTTAATTCCACCTAAAGCATTTTCTACTCTTCAAAATTCCACATCCATCTTATAGGAAATTTAGGTTGGTAAGTATTTAAGTCCAATTGCTTCTTTAATTTTCTTTCCTCATTCTGGTCTCTACTGCATTCCTTATTCTCTGCCCTTATCAATATCTAAAACATCATCTTTTCTCTGACCTACTACTGAATTTCAGGTTGAAGTGGCTTACAGTTCAGCTCTTGCTGACATTTATAAGCTATACCTAAACTCTCCATGCAGTATTTTTTTTTCATTTGTAAAATGAATTACAGTTGGATCATCTCTAAGAAACTTTTCACCTCCGTATTTATTTGATTTCAAAGAAGTCTCCGTTAGTCACAGCTTAAACAGTTTCAAAAGCTGTAGATGGCATTAAATTCTGAAATTGTTAGAGTCAGGGCCATGTCTTCCTTAAATGCAAATAAATGCTGATGTCTAGACAACATGTGGACTTCTCATGACCAACATGCCTTCTCCTGGTCACTCACTATGTGTCTGAGTTTCCTCCTCCACAATCACTTATCCTTAAGGAATGTGTTTACAGCCAAGATACTAATTTTAAATACTGGGAAGGAAAAACAATTAAGGTTAAATGTCACATGTGAAACCACATAAATTCAGGCAGAAGTAGTTTTAGATGATCTATACTGTTTCCTATTTCATCAGCATGGATGTTGGAATTTGGCATGACTTTATCCTCAATCCAAAATATCATGCACAATCAACAAAACTTTATTTTCTAGCAAAATATTCCACTAGCACTGGGTTCACAGATCTCTTCTAGTCATGCTTGTAATTCATGTTATAGGTCCTTATTACCATTTTAATTACATAATTTCCTTTAAAACAATCTCCTTTAACTGTAGGAGGAACACCCCCTTCTAAGATACCACTCCATCTTCACCCTCTTATAGAATATTCCAACATTTCAAAGAAATTTACATTTTCAGTGTTCCTTTAAAAACAGGAGTACAGGAGTGACTTTTATGGAAGATTTTTTTTTTGCCCTTTGATTACAGATGTGCCTAAACAATTTCATCTTCCAATAAAACTGTGAAATACATATATTTTATTTTTCTACTCCCCTCCCCCAGGAAATCGTATTTTTTCATGCAAATCTATCAGGCCGCCATATGAACAAATCTGTTAATTGTACAGCCAATACTGTCCTCCCTATCTCACAAGTAGATTGTTCTATTTTAAGGGAGTAGATCGGAAACAGGAAAGCATTGAGGAAAGTCTGATAGAAACTTTTCTTCTGCAATTCTAACACTGTAGCGCAGCTATTATTATTTTTAAGTACCATTTCAGAGGGGAAAAGCCAGAGAGAACATTTGGTTGAAAGCATCTAGCACGTCTGCGATGATGATCCTTGATCTTGCATTCTCTTATGTTTAAAAGGAAACATTGCCACATTTGGTTGTCATTGGACTCTGCATCTTCAGCGTTCTGGGAGAAGTTGTTTGCCACAGTCCCTTAGCCTACTTCAACTTTCCAAGTTCCATCTGCAATTTCGATCATTTAATAATTACTGCAGCAGCACGGTCTTTGAATACACAAAGGAATTGTGATTACATTCTGTGCTGCCAAATGACTAGAAGGTGTCTCAAGCAGCCTTGGTTCTCCCCCCACCCCCACCCCCCTTAGTTTTTATGGCTATCCAGATGTCAGCTGGAAACCTAACAGTCCAAGTTCTCTATTGGAGCTTCTCAGGAGCTGCTTTCCAGGAGGGAGCCGATCTGCCCGCACCCAGGCTGCTTGTCTGGCTCGGGCTGCCTTCAGGTCGCTGCTTGCTCAAGGCGTGTTCCCTGTGGGTGGATGGACTCCCCTCACTCACCTCTCAGTTGTCCCTGGTCAGCCACATCGCACTGGATGAACAGAGTCTTCTGAGGTTCAAACTGCTCATCCAGGGCAGCTTTACACTTTACACCTGCTTCGAGATTCCAATCGACCAGCGCTACCTGCAGACAAGGGAGGAATCGAGGTCCTGCACAGCTTGTGCAGCAGACAGGGGAGCAGTAAATAAACACCGGGACGCTCCCCTCCGGGAGCTCAGATTCTGCGATTCAAGTTCAAGGTCTCTCCCCGCCGCTCTGGAGATCTGCTCCAGACCGTGAGCCTCGGCAGCTTTCGGAACCGGCCGGGGGGTGCGGGGGGTGGTGGTGCTAGGGCGCGGCCCCCAGCTCGCGGGGCGTCCCTGGGCGGGGGTGGGGGGGGTGGGGGGCGAGGGTCCGCGTTCCCGCGGCCGGGGCGCGGCGCTTACCTTGGCGCCCTTGTGCAGCAGCGCCTCGGCGGAGGCTCTGCCGATGCCCTGCGCCGCGCCGGTCACCAGCGCCACTTTGCCGTTCACGTGCATGGCGCTGCCGCTGCTCCGGGCGGTGGGCGAGCTCCGTGTCTCGGCCTCCGCGCCGCGCAGCCTTTATAGCCCCCGCCGCGCGCTGTCCTGCGAGTGGGCGGGGAGGAGCCTGTCCGGCCCGCGCCGGGAGCCCACGGCCGTGTCACCTGGCCCCGAGCGCTCCGAGGCTCCCAGCGTCGCGATCTTTGCCTCCGGGACGCGGAGCCCGGGTCAGAGCCCCTCCTCGGCCTCCCACGGAGGGGCCGCCCGGCCGGGCGCTGACACGGACAAACAGCAAGGTTATTTCCCCCAAAAGATGACCCTCGGGGCGCTGAAGACCACCCGGAGAAGAGCAGCGCAGGGGAGGGGCTCGGGAGCTTGGGTTCCTCCTCCTCCTCCCCCTCCTCCTCCCTTCAGGTCCTCCCCTCTTCGACCCCCTCCCCCCCCCAAAAAAAAAGAATAAAAACCAAGCAAACAGCAAAATTTTAGGGATGGTACTCCTTGTCTCAATCTAAGTTTATGTCTGAATTCCCATGTCATGACCACCGTGGTGTCAACTGGGCTCCCCCGGAACAGTAAGCATTTACTTGCACAGGACTTGCAGAGTCGCTGTGAGCCTGGTAAACAGTTGGTTCAATGGAATGCTTACTCATCGACTCATGCTCGCCTTGGAGGCTCTGGGCATGGGAAAGAGGTTCTCTGTCCTCCAGGAACTTGAGCATAAGCTGTGTATCCAAGATGCATTCAGCCACGGCTATTCTTCTGACCTAATCACTTTTTTTTTTTCTTGTTATCACCTGCAGGCTTCAATTTTAACGCTGTAAGCTTAATACCTGGTTGGCACCTATTAGGAACAAAGAAACCTAAGCATTCCAGGAGATGAAAGTCAGGCAACAGGCTTAAATGAACAGCAGAATGAATCCTTTGTGTGCTTCTTTGCTGCCTACAGGAGATAAGGGGGAAGGTGACTGGGTCAGCAGTGAAGGCGTGGGGGGAGCGGGGAGGGTGCTGTGTAAAATACACACACGCTGTCACTAAGCCAACTAAGAAAAACTTCCAAGTTGATTTGAAATTGGGTCTTCAAAAAAATGTTGAGAAATTAAGACAGAGTAAGTTGAGAGATCGTACTGAAAAAGAACACCAGGGGACATCTTAAAAAAGGAAACAAAAACCCAATACCTCTTAGTGGCATGCACAGAACATAGAAGAAAAAAGGGAAAGAGCTCTTCCGCAGGAAGGAACTAGCGGAGGAGGAACCACTAGAGCCACATTGGACCATGTTGGGACAGCAAAGTGTCGCCACAAAGATGGGGAAAATAGCTTCAAGAAGAAAGGTGGAGTTAATTGGCAAACTACTTTAAGGAGCACAAGGGAAAGACAGATGGAGAAATGCTTTGAATTTTTCAAGAAAAGAATTAGTGTGAGTACGTTCACAAGGCATAGAAACCAAATTGAAATTTAAGGAGAAAACGGCTGGTGAGAAGATGGGGATCGCAGGAGCTCAAGACATCACATGGGAAGAAATAGATTGGACAGTAGTCAGAAGCATTAGAGGAAAAACCAAGTTTTCCTTTAAGGAAGGACAGAAATACAGATTCAATGTAAAAGGCCGGGTGTCCACTAGAGTGAGAGGCACTGGAAGCAGTCTGGAGGGGGGTGGGGTGAGATATCAGAGCATCAGCTTCAGATTCAGACAAAATGGGTCTGGATCCTGCCTCTGTTTCTGACCAGCACTGTGACCTGGGACAAGTTGCTTCAACTCTCTGTGCCTCAGACTTCTTAGTAGTAAAGAAGCAGTTCCTATGAGAATTTGGTGAAAATTAAATTAGGAAATACATGTAAAGCACAGTGCCTGGCACAGAGCCATACGATAAATATCTGTTCTACGTAATTACTTCTGGATTATTAATAAATAATACCTGAGAGATAGAAAAGAAAATGTGACAAACAGTTTTTGTTTATTTGGGTTATTTACTTATTTCTAACACATAGGAAGGACTGGGATCTAGGGCAGTTGGGACCTTTCTTCTCAGCTTTCATTGTTAGTGTCTTTATTCAGACCCTTGACTTTCTCCTGTGATAACCATAGCAGTTAACATCCTGAATTACTTTGCCCACAAATTTCCTAAATCCATTTCAGCTTCCACACTCCTCTCAGTAAAAGTTCTAAACTGTAGATCTCATCATGTTTGGACATTTCAAAATCCGTAAACTATCCGAACTCTAGGGCACTGCATAGGAGGAGGGCACCACATTCCATGCCCCTGCCTATCCCTTGGCCCCTTTATTTAAAGTCTAGAAAGCAGAGTCACTTAAAACCTACCCCATTCCCCAAGCTCAGGCCTTTGCCATCTTCTGTCTGCTCACCTGAGGATACGTCCCCTCCTACTTTCTTCACTTGTCTTCCAACTCAGCTATGAAAATTCTACAGTGACAACACCCATCACATTATTCTAATGATCTTACTATCTCTGTGTGTCCAGCTCTCCTGGAAGGGAGAGCTGGGTTTTTGTTTTTGTTTTTGTTTTTTTCTAGATATCTCCAGCATCCAGCACAGGGCCACCCAAAGTGTGTGCTCGTACATATTGAACAACGAACAGTACAAATAAACATGAGATATGTGTCTGAGAGAAGACAGAAAATTTGAAAGAGATGGTGAGATTTGCCATATATTGTGATCTTTTTACATAATTTAAAAGTTAAGCCTGGAAAAATTACATTGGAATGGTATTTTTTGAAGTAGAATGTCCTGATATTTTACCATATTTTGTATTAGATGTACGTTTTGACTTAAAATGCCTACAAGACATTATATATGTATATTCTAAAAAACAGAAAAGTACTTTTTACTAAATAAACACATCCCCCTGTGGGTTCTGATATACATTTCTCAGCTTCTGTGTTGATAGCATCATTTAGTTTCATTGACACTAGCTATACGATTTTATCATCAATGTAATTTAAAAAATAATTCTTAAGTAAAACTGAGTTAAATATGAAACAATCCATCATTCACATAATTTGCGAAGCATTCCCATTTACACGTTATACTTTATTTAGTAAATTTGAAAAACACTTTCTTTAAATGAAAAGAGATAAAATGCAAAATTAAGTAATCGATTTGAAGGGATGATTTTTCTCTCAATATATTTGCAGGTATTGGGTATTGAACATTTACTCGTCTCGTAAATGCTAAAAGCATAGCCATTGCAATCAAACTGCCTGGCTGTGAATTCAGCTTCACTACCTACTAGCCATATGTCCTCAAATTTCTTAACTGCTCTGAATCTCAGCTTCTTCATCAGTTACGTGAGGATGTACCTATTTCATAAAGTTGTTGTAAAGACTATACTGACTTAAATAAGTTCAAATGAAGTGCTTAGACCAGTGACTGGCACATAGCAAATGCTATGAAAATGCTATTATCACTAAGCACTATACATTTATAATTACATTTATTATTTACTACCAAACGGTGATGTAGTTATTACGGTGGTCATTTTACAGATTAGAAAAATAGGCTTAAGGACATTAAGGAATTTGGCAAAGGTCACTTATCTAGAAAATTGAAGACAGTGGGAAGTGGTTTTGTGTCAAGGTGTGGTACTGATTTTTTTTAATTAAACTTTTTATTTTTTATATAATTGTAACTAAGCAGTAGTTGTAGCCATGATTAAATAGTGATTTCTTTAAGAAATGGAAGTGAAAAATAGATTTAAATTCAAGTCAGAATTCCTTATCGAATATGTATCTTCATACACACACTGTCTTTGTTGGCTCAGTTCTGACCTGCTAAAACAAGCCAGTCATAACTTGATTTTCCTTCAACCATGCCTGGGGGATGCATAGACATCCCGAGAGGTAACTAGTCACAGACCAGGCTAAAGATAGAGGAAAATCAGTTATCTGATAGATACCAACTTATTTGACTTTTAAATGATCACAGATGAATCAATATAGAAAAAGACTTTTTCTTTACAAAACCGAAAAGCACTGCTAAAATAATGCAATTTCTGCAAATGTTGGGGTCAAGGATTCTTGTTCCAGCTTTGCCTGCACAAGAATAGACAAGCTGACTATGTGTGACAAGAACTCAGTTCTTGTTCTTTTGTGTGTTCTCACATTTAATCCTTTTACCAATCCTACAAAGATAAATAGATAAATAATACTGTCCTCATTTTACAGATGAAGACACTGAGGCTCATGGGAAACAAGTGTGTCCCAAAGTCACACTCTGACATTTAGCAACAAACCTGGGTTCAAACTCAAGTCATGTAGCCCCAAAGCCCCTTTGCTTTCTGTGCCACTCGGCTATCTCAGACAGATGTATGCTCAAAATGCAGTCTCTTCCTCTTTGCTAATTGTATGATCTTGGGCTGATTACTTAACCTCTGTCATTCTAAGTTCCCTGAGCTGTTAAGTGGAGAACAGGTTGATGTACCAGGCACCTACCTAGTACAGTGCCTGGCACATACACACATACCCATGAATTATTATCAGTAGGTCTTCTTCCTTAATTTTCATATTTCTTTCTGGGTTTAGATATGAAGACTTAGTTCGAAATGGAAAAAGAGTAATGATAAGGGTAGAGTTTCAGCTCCAGAATACAGATAAGCAGTTTCAGACTTTGGTAGTGTATTAGTCTGTGAGGGCTGCCATAACAAATATCACAGACTCTGTGACTTAAATGATAGAAATTAGTTTTCTCCCAGTTCTGGACTGGAAATCAAGGATCAAAGTTTTGGCAGGTTTGATTTCCTCTGACAGCTCTCTCCTGGGCTTGCAGCTGGCTGCCTCCTCTCTGTGTCTTCGCCTGGTCGCCCCTTGTGTGTGAGCCCCTGGTGTCTCCCTGCTTATTCAAATTTCTTCTTCTTATAAAGATCTTAAGGACACCCCTAAAGGCCTCCTTTAAAGTGATCACATATTTAAAAGCCCTATCTCCAAATACAGTCACATTCTGAGGTACTGGGGGATTTAACAAATGAAATTGAGAGGGTGGGGGTGACACAATTCAGCCCACAACAGATGGATTTTCCAATTTGGAAATGCAACCCTACAGATGCATTAAGCATCAAGCCAGTTTTGTGCCATGTAAATGACAAGGTATCATATATTCCTGTGACTGGCAGGAACTGGGAGGCAAGAGAAATGGGAAAAGAGTGGTCAAGAGTATACCTGTGTTGGTCATCTGTGACAAGGAGGGAAAGAAGAATATATTCCCCTCTGTGGATGATTTGAGGATCAAGGGCACAGAATCTGAATAATTGTTGCTGGCATTAGTTGTAAACAACTGCTCTGAAGTGATCTCTACTTCATATTCTATGCTCATACGGTTTGTATGATTTATTTGACAAATGTTTCTT